TTTTTTTGTTTTTATTGCTGCGGGGGGGAGGTGACGGAGGGACGACGCGCGTGGTCACCTATATAATCTAACAGCCCCATCCCCACCAGTCACGACCACGCCGGGCGAGAGGGGCGGTGGGGCAGGCGCGCGGGAGGCCCAAGACGTGGAAGCAAAGAGGCGGGATGGGAGGATCGGTCCGAGAGAACAACCGGACAAGAAAAAACAACAATAACAACCGAGCGAAGCAAAAGAGAGATGAGAAATAAAAAACAAAAACAAAAGACGGAGCCCGCGAGCGGAGCAAAAGCAGCGGGGGAAGAAAAGCAACAACAACAACAAAAAGCAGAATAAAAATGAGGGAACAGATTACACACACTAATGAGCGTCGGCAACTCCTCTTCCCCCACTCCAAACCCACTCACACCCTCGCAAGCTCTCCCCCCTCCTCCTGGGGCGGTAGTGGTGGGGCAAACGTGCCGGAGCGCAACAGGGATGACAGCCTCTCGCAAACAACAACACCCCCTCTTCCACATGTCGCATGAGTTGTCTCCGAATCTTCTTTTATTTCCGTATTATCTTGGTTACAAATATTAAAACGGCTGATGTTTAATATTCTTTTTCTTCCTTTACTTTCTTACAATACAGAGCAAGCGTAAACCAAGGAAAAAAAAAATAACAAGAACGGAAAGAGGGGCGCTCTTGCTGTCGCCGGTGACCCTGCCCCCTTTTTTTTCTCTCTTGTGGTCGATGTTGTTCTCTATTATTTCCTTTTTTTTTCTTGCGTTTCGTCGGACGGACGTGGCGCGACCACCGTAGTTTTCTTCGTCTTCTTCTTCTTCCGCCCCCCGTCCCCCTCTCTCCCTTTCTCCCTTTTTCTTTCAGTTTCCTTTGTTTCCTTCCGACTTCCTGCTGCGCCAGGTAGGTCTGCTTGACTCACACATAAGGCAGCAGTAAGTATGGCTCGCGCACGCGCCATTGAGACGCGGCTGGAGAAGCTGCTCCCGTCCATCGAGGAGTACTTCACCAGCGGCTTCCTCACGCGTGAGGAGACCCAGGAGGTGGCGCGGCAGCGGACGCACTGGGAGTACCGACTGGTTGCAAAGCCACTGCTTCTTCTGGACGTGCAGAATGCCGTGGGGTACGAGTTGGGGCTGGAGAAGCGGCTCCAAGAGTACTGCAAGTCGACGAACGTAGTGCTGAAACATCGATGGGCCGTGCTGGAACGCATCGAGACCATCTACCGCATCGGCATTAAACATTTAAAAGAACCAGAGGAGTTCGAGCTCCTGCAAGGCGAATTCGTTCAGTTCTTGAAGGACCACAATCGTCATTCGAGTCTCTCCGCGTTTTACGGCGAGCTGATGGTGCGCTTCCCTACTCGCAGCGCGCTGTGGGTGGAGGCGGCGCTCTACGAAGGCGTCGAGATGGGCAACACGGACAATGGCCGGGCGATTATACAGCAGGCCATCCTTACCGCCGGCGCCCAGCCAGAGGTGTGGAATGCGGCATTCCTCTTGGAGCTGTACTTCGCCGACCGTCTGCTGAGTAAGTTGGTGGAGGAGCAGTTGAACAGCGCTCCGAAGCAGAAGCAGAAGCAGGAGCAGGGAAGGGGCTCTCAACACGATGTGGCCGAGGCACTGCGGGGCGAGAATGCCGCTCTGGCTAATGTGGTGCTTGAGCTGGCTCTGGTCAGGGCCGTTGTGGAGGAGGCCCTGGAGAGTCCCGCCTGTGGCTCAAAATTGGTGCAGCAGCTGCTGGAGAGTGCTATGCGCTTCCGCTACGCAAAACCTGTCGTGGAGATGCTGATGGCCACCGCCGCATCGAAGATGATGTCCGCGTTGGGTGCCAGCGAGGGCGCGAGCACGCCGGCGTCGCGCAACTGGAACGCTGACGGTGCGTCCCACTTCCTGCGAGACTTCTTGACGATCGAAGTGCTCATGGCAGACCGCGGCGTGACTGTGGACCCCGCATCGTTTCTCCGTGCTGCTGGGCGGCTGCGCGCGGCGACCGCGGACGAGCGCAAGACGGCACGCGTAAAGGCGTTTGCGGCAGCGCTGACGCTCGCACAGGCTGACGAGGCGTCGTGCCCCGTTGTGCGTTCGCTGCGGGTGACGGCAGTCGAGGTGGTGGAGTCACTGCTGGAGGACTTGCAGCAGCAGTCAGCCACCGCAGCGGGCGGCATCTCCGCTGTGTGCCGCCTCCTCCTCACCGAACCACGCGTCGCCGTCGCAGAGGCGGTGCAGTGCTTGTGTGAGGCGTCTGACGCGTCGCTGGTGCGGCAGTTGACGCAGGCACCAGTGGAGCAGGTGCAGGAGGCGCTGGCGGCCGCCTGCCGAGTCCCTGTGCGCGCGGCGAAGAAGTCCAGACATGAACCGAGCGACGGTATTGCGTGGCGGCTGTGGCGCCACTTGCTGCCTGCAGACCGCAGGGCGGTGGAGGTGGCCGCGCCGTGTGGTGTTGTTAACACCGTCGATGCGAGCGATGTTGAGAGGCTGCTGCTTGCCCAACGCGACGCGAAGGACGGGGACGTGGTGGAGGGCGCCGTGGTGCGGTTCCTGCAGGAGTTTCGCCTCCTTCGTGACGGCGAGGGCTTGGAAGGCCTCCGGCGGCTGCGGTTCGACAAGGCCACGACACACATCACCCTCTGGAAGGTCTTCCAGCTGCTGGAGGAACGGTGCGAGCCGAAGACGACACCTCCGCGCGCACCATCGCCAAGAAACAGCAGCGCCAGCGCGAGCAGCAGCAGCAGCAGCAGCAGCGACAGCGATGATGATGATGAAGAAGCGAATGTGACGAAGCGTGGTGATATGAGCGACACAAGTTACGCGGCGGCCGGTCTGAGGTTCCTCGCGAGCGTGCCGTACGGCTCGCTGGACCGCGCGGCGGAGGTGGAGCGCCTCGAGGGCTGCTGGGGCCTTCTCACTGCACGCGTGTGGACGCTGACGTCGCTGCGGGGCCCGACCCGCGCCGACTTT